ACTCTCTTTTGTCCCCTTTGCCTTTATACAAAGGAACTATGCGTGCTCTCTGCCAATCCCTTGGTACCTTACCCTCTTCCATACATTTATTAAATAATTGCACCAACCACTCCAAAACTATATCCCCACCTGCTTTTAACATTTCTATCTTTATCCCATCAATCCCAGCTGCCTTACCCCCTTTCAATTTACCTTCTGCCTCACGAACTTACTCCACACTCACAACTGGCTCTTCCTGACTCCTTCATAAGTACACAAGTAATTGTGTACGTAAGTACACAAGGATATTCTAGCATAAGTGTTATCATCATCTTGTACAGGTGTTTCTTGATGTAGGGAGGAGCTTAATTAAACCTGTATAGTTTGTTGTGACGGGCATTGGTTAAGTTTACCTTTTTAAAGATACGTGATGTACAGTGGAGTAATCTGTCAATCTCGTATCCCAGAATCTTGTTCGAGTTTCTGATGGCAATAGGTGTACCTCTCATGGAGATACCCCCTTGTCCTTTATAGTTGTTGTAAAACATCCGATGGTGCTGATGAGGACTTTGTCTGGGTTGGTTGCTATTCTCCATTTCTCCTCCCAGTTTGCTGCTCCTCGTAGTTCCATTTTCATTTTTTATTACCCTCACGTGCTTATATTTTCCTGTTATTTTAGTGGATGATTCTACAAGGATAACATCATCAACAAATTGGGTGATGAGAGTATCACTGAACTCTGGTTGAGGGAAATCGTTTACATATATATGTTGAATAGTATTGGCTCAAGGCACGAGCCTTGCGGCACTCCAGCTCTCAGTGTGAAAGGCTCTACGACTTACCGTTAAAGGTAAGGATAATTCTTCTTTCTGATAAGAAGGTGCATGTAAATCTGTGAAAAGACCAGTTGTGGCCAGGAAGATCGGCAAGTTTAAATATGAGTCTATCGTGCCACAGGTGTCAAAAGCTTTGTGTACGTTCCTGGTTGCAGTTAGGGCAAGGTTGCCCTGTTTCCTAAGGCTGTCAGTAGCATCGAAGATGATTGATAGCTTGTTGGGTTCCTCTGTGGGTCCTGAATCCAGACTGTTTTTCAGTGAAGAGGTGATTGTACTCCATGTAGTAGTTTAATCAGTTGGAAATGATTTTCTCATGTACTTTACCAGTGAGTTCAGATAATTAGGTTTATTGCTCTCTGGTTTATGTTTGTCTTTGTTGGGTTATGCAATGAATATCATCCTCACTGTTTTTACTGTCTTAAGAGCTACTGAAAAGCATCCCGAGCCCAAGATGGCATTAAAAATATGTACCAGAGACATTTCGCAATTTCGGGGTAAGAATTTTACTTGTTTCACTGTTATACCTGAAAGGCCAGGTGCATTATTACTCATTCTGCCTATGACTTGACCCATCTCCCTGAGTGTGACTGGTCTTGTAAAGGGGTGCTCTTTTTTAAGGGTAGATGTATCAGTCAATGGTAATAGATGGAGGTCATCTCAGTTTTTTCTTTCCATTCGTTGACCCACTGGTAATGGCTATTATTAAATCTTCTACTCTCATTATGTGAGAATTTTTTCTCACACATCACCCATCAGATTGACTTGGTCTTGTGGGTCTTCAAGTTTGATAACAACTTCATCATCATCATCGGTGAAGGAATGTATTAGATAATGGGTAGCCTTGTGCTTTGCCCCTAGAAGTTGGCTGATCTTGACCAGAACTTTTCAGGTTGACATTTGTATTGATTTGCTTGAAGAACAAGATATTTCCATATTACACTTTTGTATTATGTGATTAGGTTAATTCTCTTCTCAACTTCTGCAGTATAGCCCTTGTGAGCTTTCTCGTTTGATGGTGCCTTCTCCGGTATACATGGAATATACCTGGAGAGGGTTTCGGGGGTCAACGCCACTGCAGCCAGGTCTGTGGCCAGGCCTCATGATGGATCAGGGCCTGATCAACCCCGCTGTTAGTGTTGGCTGTACACAACCTGACGTACAAGTCAGAGCCCGGCTGGTCAGGTACTGACTTAAGGTGCCTGTCCAGCACCTTCTTGAAGACAGCCAGGGGTCTATTGGCATTCCTTCTCATGAATGCCGGGAGGCAGTTGAACAGCTTGGGCCCTGGACACTTATTATGTTGTCTCTTATCGTGCTAGTATTGTCCCTGCTTTTCATTGGAGGATGTTGCGCTGTCTGATGAGTCTTTTGCTTTCATAGGGAGTGATTGTCGTGTGCAAGTTTGGTACTAATCCCTCTAGGATTTTTCAAGTGTATATAATTATGCATCTCTCCCGCCTGTGTTCTAGGGAGTCAGGTTGAGGAACTTTGAGTGTTCCCAGTAATTGAGGTGTTTTATCGCAGTTATGTGTGACCTGAAGGTTTTTTGTACATTTTCTAGGTCAGCAATTTCACATGGCTGGTTTATATTGCTGATAGGTCTTTGATGTATGTAATTGGCAACTTGCAGGAGTGGCCTCTATGATCCTTTCGTGGAAAGGGCTGATTGCTTCGTCAGCTGCAGTTGAAGGCAGGTTCTCAAGCGAAACAGTAAGGTCATTGCAACAGTAGTCTCTGAAAGGGTTAAATCCTAGGGATTTCGGAGGAGTGGGTATTCTAAATGGCGATGCTTGTAGTGTTATTATAACAGGAATATGGTCTGATCCTATGTTTCCACCAAGGGAGACTCTGCAATGGTATAATTCACAATCTCTGTTGGTTATGACTATATCAGGTATCCCTGGATGAGGTCCTCTATATGACCTAAAGAATGGGCCTTGGAATGATAGATTTCTTGTCATTATATCAAATTGTTGTTTATTCCTTTAAGCCGCCCAGCGGACAGCCGGTGCCACAGTTGAAGAGTGCGAGGTGATGGGCATTAAAATTCCTTGACAGGATTCTTGGAACATTTCTATTCAGTATCTGGTGTAGGGGAATGGACTCTATATATGGTTGTCTAGGAGGAAAATATCCAGTTCCAACTAATAACTGACCATATGAGGTCGTCAGTTATATTGCTATAATGCTGTCTTCGTCAAGATGGATGTTACAAGATGCATATCCTAGATTCGTTAGGACGGCCACTCCACTACATTTCTCGACAGTAGAGTAACCACGTATCTTTGAATGTTGGTCTGCTCTCGCAACTGTCTTATTCAGAAGGATGATGTCAGGGTTGTGATTGTGTAGTCCGACTTCAAGGAAATGTTGAATATTAAATTGTAAAATTGTAAACCCCATTATTTCGTGAAGTTTGCGTTTTTGCTGTGTACAGAGAGTTGGTGTCTGAGATTATAGCTGCAAGGTGTGTGCAAGTGACAGCAAGTTTTCCTTTCAGCTCTGATCAAACTAGAACTCAGGATAACCCAGAAAAAAATGTAACTTGGGCCTTAATGTTCAGAGTGAAAAAAAAAACACAGACGTCCTCTCCCTACGCCATCCTCTTGTATACTTGGGAATCGAAATCTGTCTGTGTGTCTGTGTATATCTGTGTCGCAAGCAGGAAGATCAGCTGGAAGTGGAGTAAGGCAGCAGCTTTGGGGTGATCAGTTGATGGATTCAAAAGTATCAGCTACATGGTCGAGGAGAGTTTATTTCTGTTCAGTGGTAGATGAGCCGTTCTTAAAGAACCTAGATTTTGAGATGTGAAGAATATGTATCTTGTTCTGTTTTGTAATTATGTTGACAACTGCCAGTAATTCGATGATGGTACATTCGTTGGCGGAGATGCTTGTAAACTTCACGGTTCCATCACAAAGTTATATATATAGTTCATCAGCGTACATGAAGTCTTCGTGTGGCAGGGAAGAATAGAATGTTATGTCAGTCCATCTAAGGTATGGAGGTGGTTCAACTTCTTTGCCTTCCTCCATTTCTTCTGTTTGTTATTCTTGTTGGAGTGGTTGGGGTGTGGCTTCTGATTGGTCTTGAGTAGTGGTGGTAGAAGTCTCTGGTGGTTCAAGTGAGCTTGCTGATTTGTCGACGTTAGTGGAGAGGTATAATGTTGGTAAAACAGCAGGGTGAGAGGTGGTGGTCCAGGCAGCAAGAGTGGTGGTGTCGGTGGTTGTGGAAGGTGCAGGAATACTTGCTTAGGTAGAAGACAGGTCAGCAGTAGTGAAGTTAACGACGTTAGGAAGAATCCGGAGGATGTCAGATGAAGGATTGGAGTCTGGGAAGATGAAGGCTGGCATGTTGTTAAGCCGGAATAGTTCATTAATGGTGGTGTTGAAAGTGCCTCGGCTGGCTGTGCTCGCAAGGTGCGCATACATCATTCTATACAACACCTCGGAGGGAGGTGGGGGGTAAAGAGGGCTGTTGTGTAGCTTGAAGAATTTTCTTGTTATCCGACTGGATGTTTGTTATGGCGGCGTATGGCAGCGATTTGGGGCTGCTCTTCTTAGTGTCTTTTATGATCTTCTTAGACAGCACTTCTTTCTGTAGAGGGTATTTGGCTGAAAGGGTATGATGAGCACCCTTGCAGCTGAGGCAGGTTGGAGTGGCATTGGTGGTGGGGCATGCCTTGAAATCATGACCGTCCTTTCCACCGTTGGAAAAGAATTTCTTGTTTTTAATGGGACAGTCAGTCGTCATAAGTTCCAGCAGGGTGAGACATGAGCAAAAAGTTCTGGTTCGATGTGTCGTGGATGAATATAGTAGTAGGAGATGGCTAGGCCATCAGAAAGCGCCTTGGTAGCCATAACAATATTGGAGAAGGTGAGTTTGACCATTGAATAGGCGTTTGGAATTTTGGAGATGTTGTCAATCGAGGCCCAAGTGTTTTGTTCCTCTATAGAGGTCTTCAGGTCATCACCTGATAGGGAAGTGATGATTTTGTCCAGGAATTTGACAAAAGAAAAAAAAACCAGAACGCTTTGCCAGCAAGAAAAGCGAAGGAGAGACGTTGAATTGTCGGGAACTGAGAGACTTCATTGTGGTGTCGTGCATGAGTTTTGAAGCTTCATGATCGTCAGTACAGACGACAATGAAGGAGTCTTTCAAAGAGTGAATAGCTGTAAATTTTACCTGCAAGTCTTCACAGTGGCAGCAAGGGCAAGTTTGGTAGAGTCATTGATAACTCCACTGGATGGCTTGTTCTTTACACGATGGGCAAGCATCGTGAGAAGTCAAGGCAAACACTAGATGGAGATTTCCCTCCCCACCGGGCATCGTAGGGAGACTGGAAAGATGAGTCAGGGCATCTGCGACTGCACAGGGCAAGGTCTAAAGAGCGAATTTCTTCAGTTTTTGAGTTTTTAAATTTTGTTAATAAAGTAAAAATTTAATTTTTAAAGAAAAATATATTTGTTTACAAGAGCTGATAATTATTATGCAAGTATTATTGAGATTTTAAAAACTTCTTGTAAGTGATTAAACAATTGCTTTTAATATATATATATATATATATATATATATATATATATTATATATATATATATATATATATATATATATATATTATATATATATATATATATATATATATATATATATAATTGTAACCCAGAACGAGTGGTATTGATCAATAACAACACTGCGATAGCCAAGGATTCGAACCCATGTTGTACTGGCCTGCCTCATGGTAAGCGAGAACCACATGACGCTTTAAACCACAGGACTACCCAACCCTACAAGAATGGCACAGCCAGCACACAGCTAGCTGTTGGGCCGCCATCTGAGGGCATACGGAGGTGTGGGAGCTTCTAAGCTAATTTCATTCCCATCCCTGTTTGGTATACTAGCCTCACGAGCAGTATTTATATATTATTGCAACCACGAACCAGTGGTATTGATCAATAACAACACTACACTAGCTAAGGACTCGAACCCATGTTGTACTGGCCTGCCTCATGGTAAGCAAGAACCACATCATGCTTTAAATCACAGGACCACCCAAACGTACAAGAATGGCAGTCAACACACAGCTAGATGTTGGGCCGCCATCCGAGGGCATACGGAGGTATGGGAGCTTCTAAGCTAATTTCATTCTCATCCCTGTTTGGTGTATTAGCCCCATGAGCAGTATTTATATATTATTGTAATCACAAACGAGTGGTATTGATCAATAACAACACTGCGATAGCCAAGGATTCGAACCCATGTTGTACTGGCCTGCCTCATGGTAAGCGAGAACCACATGACGCTTTAAACCACAGGACTACCCAACCCTACAAGAATGGCACAGCCAGCACACAGCTAGCTGCTGGGCCGCCATTCAAGGGCATACAGAGGTGTGGGAGCTTCTAAGCTAATTTCATTCTCATCCCTGTTTGGTGTACTAGCCTCACGAGCAGTATTCATTTGGGCCTCGGATGGCGGCCCACCAGCTAGCTGTGTGCTGGCTGCGCCATTCTTGTAAGGTTTGGTGGTCCTGTGATTTAAAAAGTCATGTGGCTCTCGCTTACCAAGAGGCAGGCCAGTACAACATGGGCTCGAATCCTTAGCTAGCACAATGTTGTTATTGATCAATACCACTCGTTCGTGGTTACAATAATATATAAATACTGCTCATGAGGCAAGTAAACCAAACAGGGATGAGAATGAAATTAGCTTAGAAGCTCCCACACCTCCGTATGTCCTCGGATGGCGGCCCAACAGCTAGCTGTGTGCTGGCTGCGCCATTCATGTAGGGTTGGGTGGTCCTGTGGTTTAAAGCAACATATGGTTCTCGCATACCATGAGGCAGGCCAGTACAACGTGGGTTCGAATCCTTGGCTAGTGCAGTGTTGTTATTGATCAATACCACTCGTTCGTGGTTACAATAATATATAAATACTGCTCGTGAGGCTAGTACACCAAACATGGATGAGAATGAAACTAGTTCAGAAGCTCCCGCACCTCTGTATGCTCTCGCATGGCGGCCCAACAGCTAGCTTGGTGCTGGCTGCGCCATTCTTGTAGGGTTGGGTGGTGCTGTGGTTTAAAGCGTCATGTTGCTCTCGCTTACCATGAGACAGGGCAATGCAACATGGGTTCGAATCCTTGGCTAGTGCAGTGTTGTTATTGATCAATACCACTCGTTCGTGGTTACAATATATAAATACTGCTCGTGAGGCTAGTATACCAAACAGGGATGAGAATGAAATGAGCTTAGAAGCTCCCACACCTCCGTATGCCCTCGGATGGCGGCCCAACAGCTAGCTGTGTGCTGGCTGTGTCATTCTTGTAGGGTTGGGTGGTCCTGTGTTTTAAAGCATCATGTGGTTCTCGCTTACCATGAGGCAGGCCAGTACAACATGGGCTCGAATCCTTGGCTAGCGCAGTGTTGTTATATATATATATATATATATATATATATATATATATATATATTAATATATATATATATATATATATATATATATATATATATATATATATATGTCGTGCCGAATATGTAAAACTGGTCAGTTAGCAAGAACTCATTTAAAATTAAGTCCTTTCTAAAATTTTCTCGTATACGTTTAAAGATATATATTTTTCATTAATGTTGGTGTAAAAATTTATAATTTTGCACCAAAAGGAACTTAGAAAACTTACCTAACCTTATTATAACAAGAACAATTTATTTTAGCCTAACCCAACTATATATTTTAGATTTGTTTACAATAATTTAATACTAAACAAACACAGTGAAATATATTTTTTTCGTTAGGTTCAGAATGATTTTTGCGAAATTATTGCATACACATATTTTCGCTTATAATATATATCAAGATGAGCGTTGCTATGTAAGCCAAGATCGCAAGTTCTGCCTATTTGGCATGACACACACACACACACACACACACACACACACACGCACACACACACTCACACACACACACACACACACATATATATATATATATATATATATATATATATTTATATATATATATATATATATATATATATATATATATATATATATATATATATTAAAATTATATACAGGGAGGTACTACCTCTTTAGTTGGAATGGGGACCCTCATCCTCAGAGAAGATAATAAACGTACCTCAGGGAAAGCTCAAGGTTCTCCCCGGAGATGTTTGAATATTTTCTTCTCCTACCACCACCTATATATTTTATATTCTATGTGAACATTTATTAATAAACAGAATACATTTGCAGAAAAACACAATCATGAATACAATGGTACAATGTAATAAAGATCATGAATTTCCTTCAGCTCCTCCGAAGCTGGATGCGAGCCAAATATGCAACAAGCATTTCCCCTCTGGATGGCTACTCTGAGGCGCTGGAACATGAAAGTGGCTGCTCTTGGGTCCTTGGTGGTGTCGACGAGTCTGGAACCCAATTCTTTAAGGAAACATATTGCATTTCTTCCCCATGATCCCAAGGTCTCTGATCCCACTTGGACAAATTGATATTGCTGGCTTATGTCCCTGTACTTGCTGATCTTGTACTCCACCCTGTGGTCAGCATCTCCTCCCGACACTGTGATGGATGTAGGTGTCAGCCAGTGTGGACACACAGGTATAGTCCCATGCTAAAAGCTTGTCATTCTTCCTAGGATAGAAGGTGATCTCGTCGGGGCGGTTTGCTGGGTTGTGGATATTGTTGGCTGCTAGTGATCGGGGCTCCCTCTCGGCTGGGCATCCAGCTGTAGCAAGGGTTCTCTTTATGATGTCGTTGACCTCATTGTGTCTTGCACGCCAGCCCTTGGTTTTGGAACAGTTAAGACCATATAGACTGTATTGGTCTGCTTGCATTTTTCCACAAATACACATTTATTATGTGTAAATTGGGGCAGCAAAGCGCACAGCCACTGCAATACGGAAGGTCTTAGGGTCGAGTCGCTTTCCAATTGCCGATATGGGAAGTGTTTGGATGAAGTCCCAGGAGTGATGTGCACTCACAGCCTGGAGACGGGCAGTTTCCCTATCTGATGCGGCCCTGAGCATGTTGGCAAGCACCTTTTCAGCGATCGGGCCATCCCAGCTTAAATGTTTGTGAGCCAGTGCTGCACTAGGGCTTGGTGCTGGAGCAGCAAGAGTCTCCCATTCAGTGATGGCACTGGCATAGCTAGGGTCCTGTATTCCTGTTGAGTCACTGAGGTTATCAGGAAGAATTTGTCTTATCAACTCGTTTGATACTATGGAAGAGGATAGGAAAGCTGGTAGAGCAATCTGGGAGGATCTGCGTACTCCTAGCCCCCAAGCCTGACCTGAAGTGAGGCTTGCAACCACTGCCCATCTTCAAGGGAAAGATTCAATATACTCTCTAGCATGGTCTTTAGGAGAGAGTCATATTCCTTGAGTTTTGGACTGCTGAAGGCTGGGGAGCATCTCAGAAAGTAGGTAAGTTTAGGGATTGACAGGCATCTGGTGAGTAGGTAGAAGGCATCATGTGTGTCAAAGTCTTTCATCCTGCTTTCGATCGTCCGGAGGTCTGAGACTTCTTTTTCTAGGATCAGATCGATGGCATTGGAACCAAGAGGAGCACCAAGGAGAGTGCTATTGGCTGAATCAATGGCTCGTGCTCCTGGTAAAACGGCGCTAATATTCTGGATCATCTATTGATTGGTAGAAACTATTTCACATTTGGTGGGGTTTAAAGAAAGGCCCAGGCTTTCTCCCATGTCTTTAATTTTTCTGATGTCCTCTAGGAGAGATTCTGTTGTGCTAGCTAGGGTACCGTCGTCCAGGAACCAGATATTGAGCTCGCTGGAGAGTGCTTCTTTGACTTCCTTGATGACCAAACAGAATAGAAAGGGGGTGAGAGGGTCCCCCTGTTGCACGCCCTCACTTGAGTCAATTTCATGGTCCCCAAACAATAGTTTGGAAGTCACACTATAACACGATTCTATGAAGGGATAAAGGGAAGGGAAGTTTCTATAAACTGCTTGGAGAGCAGCATCCCTTCTGACTGAGTTGAAAGCGTTGGCAAAGTCCAATTTGACCAAGGCTTTTTCATCGGACATGTTTTTGATATATGCTCGTGCTGTGTGGGCAGCTGCTTTACAGCCCTGTTGAATGCCGAAACCGAGCTGAGTTGGTTTCAGCATTGCAGCAGCCTCTTGACTCACTCTTCTTACTTCAGCCTTGGCAACTAGGCGCCGAAAGGTGTTACCCACTGCAATGGGCCTGATTCCACCTTCCTTTTTCCGGAGGGCACAAAATAAGGCACCAAAGA